TCCATGGAGAAAATTGGATTTGGGGCCAATTCCAGCATTTTAGGGAGCAAATCTTGGGTTTTCAAGGACCTGGATGAGTTCCTGGAGGTCTGGAATTGTCCTTGGAGGATCTGAACGAGCTCCTGGGGACTCTGCGTGTGTCCCTGGGGTTCTGCTGCCCCGGAGTCACGGAACCATTCCCTGATTCCAACGGGATTTTGGCAATCCCGGGGCCGTTCCCGAGCTGGAAAAGCTCCTCGTGTCCTAAATCCCAAATCTGGGGGATTTTTGGGATTTTTTTCCAGGCTTACAACGCCAAAACCAAGAGCTTTGAGGATCCTCCCAACCACGCCCGGAGCGCCGGGAACAAAGGGAAGGGGAAGGGGAAAGGGAAAGGTGAGGCTGGAAAAGGTGGAAAAGGGTGGGAAAAAGGGTGGAAAATGGGGTGGAAAAGGGTGGAAAATGGGGTGGAAAGTAGGTGGAAAATGGGGTGGAAAAGGGTGGAAAATGGGGTGGAAAATGAGGTGGGATAAGGGTGGAAAATGGGGTGGAAAAGGGCTGGAAAAAGGGTGGAAAATGGGGTGGAAAATGGGGTGGGAAAAGGGTGGAAAATGAGGTGGGAAAAGGGTGGAAAATGGGATGGAAAAGGGTGGAAAATGGGGTGGAAAATGAGGTGGAAAAAGGGTGGAAAATGGGGTGGAAAAGGGCTGGAAAAAGGGTGGAAAATGGGGTGGAAAATGGGCAGAAAAAGGGTGGGAAAAGGAGCAGAAAAAGGGATGGAAAAAGGAGCAGGAAAGGATGGGAAAAGACCGAAAAAAGGGTGGAAAAGGGGCTGAAAATGGGTGGAAAAACGGATGGAAAATGAGGTGGAAAGTAGGTGGAAAATGGGGTGGAAAAGGGCTGGGAAATGGGTAGAAAAAGGTGGGAAAGGGATGGGAAAGGGATGGGAAAAGGGGCAGGGAAGGATGGAAAAAGACAGGAAAAAGGGCAGAAAAAAGGGTGGAAAAGGGGCTGAAAATTGGGCAGAAAATGGGTAAAAAAGGGGCGGAAATGGGTAAAAAAGGGGCAGAAAATGGGGCAGAAAATGGGTAAAAAAGGGGCGGAAATGGGTAAAAAAAGGGGGAGAAATTGGGTAAAAAAGGGGCAGAAAATGGGTAAAGAAGGGGCAGAAAATGGGTAAGAAAGGTGTAGAAAATGGGTAAAAAGGGGTGGAAATTGGTAAAAAAGGGTCGGAAAACGGGTAAAAAAGGGTGGAAAATGGATAAAAAGGTGCAGAAAATTGGTAAAAAAGGGGTGGAAAATGGGTAAAAAAGGGGCGGAAATGGGTGAAAAGGGGTGGAAATTGGGTAAAAAAGGGGCAGAAAATTGGTAAAAAAGGGGCGGAAATGGGTAAAAAAGGGGCAGAAAATGGGTAAAAAAGGTGTAGAAAATGGGTAAAAAAGGTGTAGAAAATGGGTAAAAAGGGGTGGAAATGGGTAAAAAAAGGTCAGAAAATGGGTAAAAAAGGCGCAGAAAATGGGTAAAAAAGGTGTAGAAAATGGGTAAAAAGGGGTGGAAATGGGTAAAAAAAGGTCAGAAAATGGGTAAAAAAGGGGCAGAAGAGGGTCTGGGAGGTGCTGGCTTGCAGAGGCGGGAGGAGGAGGA